AAACAAATTATGTAATTAACAAAAAAGTTTTTAAAAGAATTGTTTAAGGACCAAAAATATGAATTCGATCAAGAATATAAATTTATTTTTCCCAACTATATTTCTTAAATAATTTTCATATAAATTTACCTTGTGCAAGACGCATGTCTTATCCTAGTATATATTTGATATGGTAATTATCTACTCTTGAACTAATTTTTGGATGTGAGTTAAGTCCATCACTAATATGGTATCAGAATTCATGATAAAAGTCCATCAGATGATTTTCTTATAAACAGTTTTCTATCTATGTAATATGTAAAAAGTGGATCATCTTGCTGTGGTATTTTTGAGATATTGGACTTGAAATGTTTCCGTTAAATCGTTTCTCAACTATATCTCGAGAGAATCTCGAGAGAAGCTATTAATATATCACATATTGGTTGGGATTCTGGTGCTTAGGTAATATATATGATGTGGTAATCTTTCATTCTTAAGTTAGTTTTTGAATGTAAGCTAGGTCTATCATTAATAGCATAGTTTCCAGAAGCTTGCGTATGATAAATCCCAAATTCATAAATAATGATTTAGGCAAGAGAAGTGTATACTTATCGGATGAGTGAGAGTTGACCTTAGAAGATATGCTGAGTTAGTGATCCATAATGTATAACTGTATTATTTGATCTGTTTCAATATAAGCCCATAAATAATCGATAGAAGTACTATATAATCTCGTTATTCACGTGTCATCAATATATTAAACTGTTGTGGACATGAAGCAACTGAGTTGAATCTCAATAGTTGATTTTAGTTATCTGAATGTAGTAGTAGTACACATTTCTTAGAAGGTAATGATATTCTTTAAAGATTAATCGTGCCTAGTACGTGGTGTAACAGTTTAACGATGATTATTCGATTCTTTACCGATATCAGTGAGTCAGTGACCTATGGCTTTTTAATGTTTCAGCGTTTTAAGTCTTGTTCAGGATTTTTGTGCACCCTTTTTGTTTGAATAAGTAATAGGTATTTTCAGGGCCGGCTCTGAGAATTATGCGGCATAAGGCGATTTCTTAACGATTTCACCTAAAAAAAAATTTTAACGGATTTGGGGGCCTAAAAAATTTTCTTTTAGGACCTATATACAAGTAATTTTTTCAAAAAAACATTGGGGGCCAAAGCCAATGTTTCATCCGGTTTTGTCCAACGCCGGCCCTCGGTATTTTTAACTCTACTGTCTTTGACAACAAAAAAAAAAAACTATACTGTCATATGATTTTGTATGTTGAATTGGATTATTTTGGCTTGTCTTTAACAAATCCAGCGGTATGAGATACGACATTTTTCGATGAGGAGCAATATATATTATATAATTTTTTTTTTTTTTGAATTTCCAAAGAAAATTCAGACTTTAGATTTTAATCTCTTTTGGACCTAGAACCATTAATTTCATTTATCGTGTAAAACACATTTCCCATAGTGGAATCTAAGAACACAATAGTACCAACGTCCAACGCCTGTATTCAAACCAATTAGATTACCACATCTGTGGTGCAGTATATATTATTTCTTTTAACAATTGGAATAGTATTTTTTTTTTTTTGGTGCAAGTGGAATAGTATATAGTACATTACAGGGTGATTTAATATTTTGGAAGAAAAAGTGTAATTTTAAAAAACGAGTTCCGCGTAAGGAGTGGAGATTTGATCCATACACGTTCCACATTTTAGTCTTCGACGTGATCGTAGTGTGGTAGAATATTTTATTGTAAAAGCTTAAGAAGTTATCATTATTTTTTTGTAAGCGTAGAAGTTATCATTATTGTCATGCTAAATATAAATAAGGACCACGAGACCCACGAGTGGCCATTTCTTTGATTTTGATTTCATGCCTTGCTGAGATAACAAAACAAAAAATGTTTGCATTTCCTGAAAAATAAGAAGATGCCGGAATAATTCCAACTTCATGATCGTCCGGGTAAAGGAAGCTTCTTAGATACTAATTAAAAACTTTATGCTAAAACATTACTACTGTAAAACTTCATTTTTGCTTCTAAAATAAATTAATTCTATTATAAAACTGGGTTCACTACAACACAAATCTATTTTAGAGTAATAAAAAAATAAAACTAAAATATTACTCAATTTATGGAATAATTTATCTTTACTTCATTGTGGAATGGAAAATTGAGTGGATTTAAAAACAATGTACTTTAAACTCTATTTTAAAGTGAAATATGAAATGTAGTTGGAGATATTCATAGACATGTCAGAATTATAATACATGTTGATACAAAAAGGAAATGTGCTTTCAAATAAAAAGAAAATTAATACAAATATGATACGGACCGATCGGTTACAACGATATATCAGAGTATTTCTAAAAGAAATCTAGAACTTCAAATATAGAATTTTTGCTTTTCAAAAGGAAATTTCAAAACTTAAAATTGAAATTTGAGAAATGAAACTTCAAATATGAAATTTCACTATTCAAAATTTCAAATTTGAAGTTTCATCTTTTTATTTGCATTTTGGTATTTATAATCTTTCAAACCCTTATATCACATAAATATTTCAATTAAGCTTTTATTGTTTATAAATTTAACTTTTACATATAAAATTAAATAAATATTGTAAATAAGAAACTTGATTTAATATTTGCTTGTAGTTTAATATTATAAGAATGAAATTGGACAACAAAAGTGTGGTATTTTACTTATAATTATTTATGTATTTGTATTAATAATTTTATATTTTAGTGTAAGATTTTATTAATTAATATTGCTGTATAATTTTTATATATGCGTGTTATTTAATTTTTTTTTATAGATTTACATTAACTATGACAAATACAGAGACTATAGTGTAAAATATAAATAATTTTGTAATTCAGTTTAAAGTTTTATTTTTGGAAAAAAACATTTTGAAACTTAAATTATAGAGTTTTAGAAACTTTAAAATTAAAAAACAAAAATTTGGAGATGCTCTTAGAGAAAACTACGAGGTGTTGGTGTTGTGGTAGACGAGTTTTGGAATTGCTAAACAAATCGGATTCAAAAGTACACCACTATACTTTACTTTGTGGCCACTCAGATATGAGTTATTAGTTTCAGCCTATTCAAATGCTCAAGAGAGAGTTCATCTCTAGTCTATATTTCCATCCGAAGGTTAGATACGTTTTTAATAGATTCAAATTTAACCCTTTCAATTTACAAAAAGAAAATGCTCTTAGGGAGATAAATAAACACATGTGACAGCCAAGCACTGTACTATTATTTACGCATGCGATGCACGATCAATTCACGAGATGGTTGAGGAAAAGATTTGACCTGAGAGGCTTCCATTGTATAGGCTTCCATTGTATTTTAGTACCCATCGTGTCACCATCTTCATTGCTCATGTTCTCGCTCAGTTTTTCTTTTAATATTGGAATCACGAAGTACATCTTACAGTATAATCTTTTTCAAAAAAAAAAAAATCTTACAGTATAACTTCTTTAAATTAATAATTTATAAATTAATATCTCTATAAATTAATATAATTTCATAGTCCTAAATTGAATTTTTGATTCAATTAATATCTTGATAAATTAATAATCTCTATAAATTAATAAAAAATTTAGTTTTGGTGTAGTCCCAACATTATTAATTTATAGAGGTTTCACTGTACTTTGATTATAAATAATGAATAATTTTCCAATCTATACGATACTGATGACCAATTTTATGGATAAGAATTTTATGATGTAACAGTTTCCGTAATATTTAGATCGATAAACGGTTTTGCATGTACAACATTTTTAATAGACATACTTTTCCCATATCACACAACTACAACAAATGGTCGTATATACAATAGTATGGAACTTACAATAACCTTACATTCTATAATTTATAATAAAATTACATTCTCTGAAAATCGAAACCCAAAACGGGTCACTCAAATTTTTGAACATCTTTTATACAAACATAAACCCAATAAATATTAAATTAACAACAATGAGAAGTTGGTCTAGTCTTTAAAAACTCTGGAATTACATGGTAGAAATTTAAGAGGTTTCAAACGTTAAAAATACTCTTTAAGAAAATAGTTTTACATAATTTAACAAAATTATTAAACCATGATTTAGAAACCAACAGGACTATGTTATGTGGAATTTCTAGTGGTTTGAACGTTATCATCATGCTTACAATAATCTGAAGAACCAAAAAAATCAACAAGGAAAAATGAGTCAACAAAATGTTTTTTTTTTCTTGAGAAGGAAAGTTACAAGAAGCTATTACATACTTATGGGTCCACGTTAATATTTTTTATATATGGCCCATGTGATGCGTATTATTGTTGTAATTACATAAACTAAATTATCACAAAACTCGTTGTATATAAATCCTACCATTTAGGCTCTCTTCTCCCACACCAAATCTTCATCCTCATCATCAGTTTCAATCAGGTAATCCCTCTCTCACTAGCTTCTCTCTCTCTTTATACATATTCCAATATGTATACGTACATGTATGTACGTACCTGCTTTGCAAAAACAATCAATCAATTGATTTCTTTTATTTCTATCTCAATCGCTTCTTTAAAAAAAAAAATTAAGAGACAGATTTGACTTTTGATAAACCAAAGCTCGAGATTGCTATCATTAAGTGTTGTAAGACTTAGCAAAAACTGGTTACTTCGCATGAGTTAGATGTTAAAACTTCTCAGAGTATTGACATGAATTTCTTATTTTAATATAAATGGTGGAAAGAAGGTGAGAAATTTTGGAGAATTTATAGTACAAAAAAACTTACATGCCACTTCGGTCTTTGTTATTTATTCACTTTTCTATTTAATTACATAATTTAAATATTGGTGAGAGGTGCGTTTAGATTAAGGAACCGGATTTATTATCTTTGACCTGTGACTTTCATCTACACTATGGAGCAGTCCATTGCATTTTAGTCAAGAAAAACAATTTAAATTAGTGTTGATGGTTGGATATAACACTGTATAATATATGAACAGGTAACAAAAGCGACGATGTCTTGGGACGACGGTAAGCACGCGAAGGTGAACAAAGTTCAGATTACATACGATGACGTCATCTACTCAATCCAGGTCACGTACGCCGGAAGCGCCCTTCAATCTCAGCGTCGTGGCTCTGTTGGGCCCAAAACTGCCGAGGTAAACAAAAGTCTTGTATAGTTTCTGTTTTAGTAATATATGTAACACAGTAAATTAAAGTTTTGTTTTGTTATGTAATATAGTTCACTTTGGGTCCGGACGAGTACATAACGGCTCTGTCTGCTTACGGCAAAACGCTGAGCACGCAAGACGTGATAACAGCGTTGACTTTCACAACGAACAAGGGGACTTATGGTCCTTACGGAAACAAATCTGGTTACCAGATTTCTGCTCCGGAAGGGACGGGTAAACAGATCGCCGGTTTCCTTGGTACCAGCGGCAATGTTCTCAACTCCATCGATGTTCACTACGCTCCCATACCCACTGGAACCGGCGGAACTGGAACCGGCGGAACTGGAACCGGTGGAACTGGAACTGGAGGAACTGGTACGGGCGGGACTGGAACCGGAGGAACTGGTACTGGTGGAACTGGAACCGGTGGAACTGGTACTGGTGGAACTGGAACCGGTGGAACTGGTACGGGCGGAACTGGAACCGGAGGAACTTGTGGTACTGGCGGAACAGGAGGAACTTGTGGTACCGGCGGGACTGGAACCGGAGGAACTGGTACTGGTGGAACCGGAACCGGTGGAACTGGTACGGGCGGAACCGGAACCGGTGGGACTGGAACCGGAGGAACTGGTACTGGCGGAACTGGAACCGGAGGGACTGGAACAGGAGGAACTGGTACTGGTGGAACCGGAACCGGTGGAACCGGAACCGGTGGAACTGGCACGGGAGGAACTGGAACTGGTGGGTCAGGGACCGGTTCAGGAGCTGAAAAGTTGGAAGCACACGGTGGGACAGGAGGAACTGCATGGGACGATGGATCCGATCACGATGGCCTGACAAAGATAACAGTAAGAACAGGTGGCGCAGGAGTTCAATACGTTCAGTTCGACTATGTGAAAGCTGGACAACCGAAACAAGGAGCCCTCCGCGGTGTGCAAGGTAGCAGAGGTTCAACGCGTGAGGTAAGCTAAGCAGGTTTATTCGAGTTAGTCTTTTTTTTTGCTACTAGGAGGATTATTTGTACTGACATTATGAATCACTGCAGATTTTGATTAACCATCCAGACGAGCATCTTGTTTCCGTCGAGGGTTGGTATGATTCAGCCAATGTCATCTTGGGAATCCAGTTCAAAACTAACAAAAAGACTTCTGAGTACCTCGGCTATGAGTTCGATGGAAGTGGTACTAAGTTTACTCTCCAAGTTCAAGGCAAGAAGATCATCGGGTTTCACGGTTTCGCCAGCGACAATCTCAATTCCATTGGAGCGTATTTCATTCCCGTGTCCTCCACCACCGACCCTTCTACCGTTCCCCATAAGAAGCTTGAAGCTAAGGGTGGTGCATCCGGAGCTGTGTGGGACGATGGTGCTCACGACAATGTTAAAAAGGTGTCTGTTGGACAAGGCCAAGATGGTATAGCAGCTGTCAAGTTTGAATACAGAAATGGTTCTCAAGTTGTTATTGGAGCTGAACGTGGGACACCAACATTGCTTGGATACGAAGAGGTACGTTAAAACCGATATAGTAATAGAGTTTTAAAAAGCTATGTGGAACTAGTTTTAATATTCTGTTCTGGCTTCCTCTTGTGCAGTTTGAGCTTGCATCAGATGAATACATAACCATTGTGGAAGGCACCTACGACAAAATCTTAGGTAGCGATGGCCTAACAATGCTCACTTTCAAGACTAACAAGAACAAAACATATGGACCGTACGGTCTCCAAGGTAGCACACGCTTTGAACTCAAGGAGGAAGGTCACAAGATTACAGGGTTCCATGGACGAGCTGGTGATACTATTACTGCTATTGGAGTTTACTTAGCTCCAGTAGGCACCATCCCTTTGACTCCCGCAACACAAACCAAGAAGCTCGAAGCTAAGGGTGGTGATGGAGGAACATCATGGGATGATGGTGCCTTTGATGGCGTAAAAAAGGTGTCTGTAGGACAATCCAACGATGGTATAGGAGCAGTTAAGTTTGTGTACAACAATGGTTCTTCTGAAATCATAGGAGGTGAACATGGAAAAAGTACTCTACTCGGATTCGAAGAGGTACTTACTTAGTTCTTGCCTTCTTTTCTTTTTCATTTTCTTAAATATGTGGACTAGTTTCAATTTGGTTTGTGTTACTTTGGTTGCAGTTTGAACTTAACTATCCAAGTGAGTACATCACGGAAGTACATGGCACATACGATAAAATCTTTGGGAGTGACTCCGCAATCGTTACCCAGCTTACGTTCAAGACTAATAAGCCAGCAACATATGGTCCCTTTGGGCTTACTGCTGGCACACCTTTTGATCTCAAAGAGGAAGGCCACAAGATCGTTGGGTTCCATGGAAGTGCTGGTGATCTGCTTCATAAATTTGGAGTCCATGTCCGTCCCATCACCAACTAATTGTGGAGATCTTGAAATTTGTCACACATGTGTGGTCTCTTTTGGGTTTTGCACATTGAACTTTGAATAAGCTGATACTACTTCTTTTCTGGTTTCTGTTGTTTCATCTCTTCAGTGTTTTCTTTGTGTTATTGTTCTGTCTTTTGATGGATTTGTATTCCATTTTAATAAAAGAAGCTTGTTCCAATTGTTTCTCCAGTTCACTGAATCATACATTTAGCGCCCCAAAAGACCCATATGGCTTTATTAACATTACAATAGAAGAAACCTTCTTTATTTAGATAGCCAAGACACAAGACACACAGGTTAAGCTTGAGACAAACCAAATACAACTATAGACCATACAACTCCATAAGTTCATATGATAATCTTATTCATACATATTATAAGATTGGTTCTGCATCAGTTGGCTATGGGCACCACTTTGGCTCCAATCTTGTAAAGATAGTCACCAGCTTGTCCATAGAACCCAACGATCTTGTGGTCTTTCTTCTCCAACACGAATTTAGTTCCTGAGTCCATTCCATATGGGTCAGAGGTCCTCTTGTTTGTCTTAAATTGAAGACAGATAATCGCAGGTGCATCTACTCCATAAATCTTGTCATAATAGCCTATCACGCTTGTAACATATTCACCATCTTCAAGCACAAACTGCACGTTTTGCTAACCAATTAAATACTCAAATAAACCCAAGGGTTTTAAATGAACTTAAATGAAATAAATCAAGAAAACAACCTCTTCTGCTCCAAGCAATGACTTCTTCCCATGATCACTTCCAAGGACAGGCTTTGAATCCTTTACATACTCAGCCTTGAAATAAGTCACACAAGAGTCACCCTGTCCTACATATATCTTCTTCACNGCTAACCAATTAAATACTCAAATAAACCCAAGGGTTTTAAATGAACTTAAATGAAATAAATCAAGAAAACAACCTCTTCTGCTCCAAGCAATGACTTCTTCCCATGATCACTTCCAAGGACAGGCTTTGAATCCTTTACATACTCAGCCTTGAAATAAGTCACACAAGAGTCACCCTGTCCTACATATATCTTCTTCACGCTGTCGTGAACACCATCCTCCCATGCAACTCCAGCATCTCCACCTTGTGCTGGAATTGTATCGGAGGGAATCACTGGTGTTAGCGTAGGAACAATATAAGCACCAAGAGAGTGGATCACATGGCTTGCACTTCCATGGAAGCCAACAATTTTGCCAACTCCTAGCACAGCTTCTTTTCCAGAGGCCATTCCAAATGGCTGAGAAACTTTTCCCTTGAATGTTGTGAAGATAAGAGCCGTGATGATCTCTGTTTCTGTTCCAAAGAGTTTCTCGTAGTAAACTTTCACAGATGAAATGTAATCATCTGAATCTAGCTCAAACTGCAAAACCCCCCACATCAACAATTTCAATATTAGCTTAAAATAATATATATATATATATATATACCTTTCTTGAGAAAAATCAAGAATACATTAATTGCTAAAATATTCTTAATATTTTACCAAAAAAAATAAAAATTCAAGAATACCTCCTCAGTTCCAAGTAACGTTTTCTTCCCATGTTCAAGTGATACAATCTTCCCAGCTTTCTCGTAATCAAACTTGACATAAACCACACCAGAGTCACCTTGTCCAACATACACTTTCTTGACATTCTCGTACACACCACCATCGTCCCATACCTCTCCTCCATTACCACCTTGAGCATTTAGTTTGGTTGGACCACCCGGAATCACCGGAGTAGTTGACGGAATAATATAGGCTCCGAGGGAATGAATAGCATCACTCGCACTTCCATGGAATCCAACAATTTTGCCACCTCCTAGCACAGCTTCTGTTCCAGAGGCCATTCCAAATGGCTGAGAAACTTTTCCCTTAAATGTTGTGAAGATAAGAGCCGTGATGATCTCTACACTCGTTCCAAATAGTTTCTCGTAGTAGACTTTCACAGATGTTATGTAATCTTCTGGATCAAGCTCAAACTAGCAACAACAAAAATAAAAATAAAATAAAATAAATAAAAATCAAGAAAACTCTCTCGTGATCATGTTGTTATATAAATAAAATGTTTTACCTACTCCTTGTTTTACAAAAAAAAAAAATGTTTTACCTCCTCTGTTCCAAGAAGTGTCTTCTTCCCATGTTCAAGTGATACGATCTTGCCGCCTTTCTCGTAATCAAACTTGACGTATACTACACCAGAGTCACCTTGCCCAACATACACTTTCTTGACATTCTCGTACACACCACCATCGTCCCATACCTCTCCTCCACTACCACCTTGAGCATTTAGTTTGGTTGGACCACCTGGAATCACCGGAGTAGTTGACGGAATAACATAGGCTCCGAGGGAATGAATAGCATCACTCGCACTTCCATGGAATCCAACGATCTTGCCACCTCCTAGCACAGCTTCTTTTCCAGAGGCCATTCCAAATGGCTGAGAAACTTCTCCCTTGAATGTTGTGAAGATAAGAGCCGTGATGATCTCTACAGCCGTTCCAAAGAGTTTCTCGTAGTAAACTTTCACAGATGTGATGTAATCTTCTGGATCAAGCTCAAACTAGCAACAACAACAAAAATATAAAAAAATCAAGAAAACTCTCTCGTGATCATTTTGTTATATAAATAAAATGTTTTTACCTCCTCTGTTCCAAGAAGTGTCTTCTTCCCATGTTCAAGTGATACGATCTTGCCGTCTTTCTCGTAATCAAACTTGACGTATACTACACCAGAGTCACCTTGACCGACGTACACTTTCTTGATGTTCTTATAAGCATCACCATCGTCCCAGAGCTCTCCTCCACGGCCACCTTGAGCATCCAACTTTTGCGCCATCGCTCCCTTTTAACCTAAAGTTTTATTAGAAACGCATACGAACATTATAGAAGAGTGATGAACATACATGCATCGTTGCCACTGACCACACTGAAAAAGGGTGGATGATGAAACTAATCTAAGTGGAGGACACACTGACCATACTTCCACTAGATCGTTACTTTAAACAAATAGAGTTAATATTTTAAACAATATTATCATATTCTCGTAGATTCAGTTTCCTTTACAGATATTCGTTAAAATAAAATATAAGCTTGTAAAATAACGATTTGAGATAGAAAATAAAAAGGAGAAAGAGGGAAGAGAGAAAGCTAGTAACCTTTAAGTTTGAGAAATAGAGATGAAGATGGAATGAGTGGCTTCATGTTCGGTATTTTTGTTTATTTATAATACAGTTTTCAATTGAATACGGACATTACAGATTACAAAAAAAAATCAATACTAACCACTTTCTTGTTTCTTTTATTTTAGTCTTCGAGTTAAACAACTCGTGCTCCACGAGGGAGGGAAGCTTCGATTAGTTAGGAAATTGTACCAAACAAAAAGTGACACTCATCAAATATTTATTGCACCACAAAAAAAAATGTTTTACAGTTCAGTTATTATGTTTTAACAAATTTTGTACGTAAATAGAAATCCAAAATTCGAACCAGTAAAAATCTCCCCCAAAATAAATAAATAAGTAGAATGAAAAATCATCATTGAGATCAAGATCTTTTTATATCCTTTCATTTTACCAGTGTTTCTGTGCACAATGTGTAGCGATAACAATTTTAAATTTATACTATATTATTTAAAATAAAAAATTAGTTAATATTTTAGATTTTATTATTTTGTAAGAATATCTTAGTATAAATATTGATTTCGTTTTTTTTTTACAAAAAAATATTGATTTAGTTAAACTTAAAATTATGATAAAATATACAATTTATTTATGCAAGTTATATAAATATATATTATATATTTTAAATTATATATAATCTTAGATATTTTATTTATTTATTTTGTGTAAGATATATTAAATCAACTTATATATAATAAAAATTAATTAATATAAAAAATGATAATTATTAAAAAAAAGAAAACTAAACAGAATTTCTAATCTGTAGATACAAAAAATGGTATTACGGATTTATATTTTTAAAAACAAATTGTATAAAATTTTGAAAATTCTTTTTAGTAATAAAATTGTATCATTATAAAAAAGAGTTAAATGATAAATTAAAATTTCTAGAATATTTTTTATTTCTATTATTATATTATTTAATGTCATATTTGAATATGTTTGTTTTAATGATGATGAATGAATTGTTACAATATTCTAAAAATTACCAAAATTAGAAATCAACATTAAATGTAATTGTCCATGTTACATTTAATCATAAATTATATCACTATTTATACTATGCTATGTCACATATTTTAGTGATGTCAAATAATTTCTTAAATAATGTATAAAGAATATTCAAATATTACTATACAAATTTCAGAGTACAAGAAAATGAATAATACTTGAATTATGGATTTTCATAAGATATGGTAGACTAGCTTGTTCGTACTTCAACATGTCTCCAAAATTTAGTTACCATCAGTGTTTTTATAATTTCATTTCTGAAACAGTGATCTTTGACACAACTTATGACTTTCCTAAAGATAAATATAATTAATTAGAGATATGTTCAAAAAAGGTAACTAGAGAAGATAGAGACGACTAGGGTTAGTGACAATTACGGCCCATGACACCATTAATCATGTTTTACAAAATTCCGACGACCCTTTGCTACTGTCTCTCTCTTTTCTTTTTTCCATGGTTGTTATGGGAAATTTGAAAAGCTAGGAATAACTTTGTTTTCCAAACAAAAGATATCGAACATTTATTTATTGCTAAAAAAGCCTTTGAAAAGGAATCGACATGGTTTGATACATTCACGGGAACACAAGAGATTGTCAATGCTGACCCTATTGCAAGGATTCGATGGAGGAAACCTCCTCGTGGTTTCCTCAAATGTAATGTTGGGTCTTCATGGTTGAGTTCGAATTGTCTCAGTGGTGCTTCATGGATCCTACGAGATGAAAATGGATGTACAATCATGCATAGTCGTCGTGCTTATTCTTTTATGCGCACAAAAACAGAGGCGGATCTATGGTCTCTTTTTTGGGCAGTGGAATACATTCACAATTTGCACTTTTCGAATATTATTTTTGAAACTTCCTCGGAGAATCTCCATGACGCATTCACAAATCCGATTGAGCAACTCAGTCTCAGTCATATCAGGCACAACATCTCATTTCTCCTCGCCCGGATTGCTTTATGGAGGTTAGATCACGCACTACCAGAACGTAACGAAGCTGCGGACGCTATTGCAATAAGTGTCACTCGCGATCACCGCCACCAGTCTTACATCGCCAGCAATGCTCCCGTATGGCTACATCATCTACTCGCTTTGGAAGCTCAGCAGTTAGGAGATGGGTGAGATTTTAATGCTCCTTTATTTTTGATGTCTAATGATATCTCTTCTACTCTCTTTTATTTACTTCTGTATTATCTCGAATTTTTTTGGACGTATCAGTGTTATAAAAAAAATATTAACCACTTGCCCATAATGTGAATAATTATTTTTGGATTATTTCACCCCTACTTTAGGAGCTGTACATGACATGGGTTTGTAAATCAAGCTATTAGTCTATTTTGTAGATGAAATTTTTTATAAGTTTTTTTTACGTATTTTCTTTCTATTTTATAATTTGTTTTCTCCAAACTTTTTTTTCTTTTTCTGTATTTCCATGAGATTGATCTTATAGAAACAAACTATTTCTTTTTTGTTTATCAAAGAATAATAATGTTTCAGAATTTTATTATGAAGTTTTCTGTTGTTTAACTATATAACATAAAATATGTTAACAAATATTGTAGATGTTAACAAAGACGTTACCTGTTAACAAATACATATACCAGAAATGTTAATAGAGACGTTAGTTGCTAACAAATATCAAAAATGTTAACACATGTGTTAGTTGTTAATAAATACATGTATCAGAGATATTAACATAGGTTTTAAAACTTTGTGTGAATTTTAGTAAAAATTTATCAAATTCTTTTTGAATCTTAGTAGAAGACAACAATAAATCAAATTTTGAATTTGAAATTTTTTTTTCTAAAAGCTTGATTGATAAAGGAAATAGATGAGAATAGGAAAATAAAATCATAAAACTGATTTTAAAAAAAAAGAAGCAAACATTTGAGTCAGCGATGTTAATGTAGAAAACAAAAGATTTTGTCTTAAATTAAAGTTATTTTTGTCTAATTACCTTTTAAAGTGTATAAGAGATACAATTAATGTCAACTTATGTGCAAATACCTAATTGAAACATGTATTAGTAGAGCTGGCTAATTCCCTCTTTCTTTTTTGGGTCAAAATTACTCTCTCTCTCCAATTATACCAACGAAGCTCTTTCACTCGTTATTCACGTGCTATATACATCTTTCGAGTTCGGTACTCTCCCAAATCTCAGCAATTCACTTCGAATCATGTGAATGTAAAAACTATAATGCTATTTCCTTATATTATTACAGCTTTAGTTTTTCCATAAAATTTGCTTATATCATCCAAGCAATAATTTTTGCTAAATGGTATATTTTGGCCATTTAGCATGTTTAGGATTATAATATTTATGTAGTAAAACTTTTTTGAAGAGTGGAGAATTCTGGAATTTAAGTTCATGATCTATTTCTAGTATAAATTGGCTTTTTAAAAAAAAAATTAGAAAATCTAATCTAAAATACCTCTGAATCTAGAACATACAGAAATCAACCCTTTGTATCATAATAGCCAAATTTTGTTAGGGTTGATTTGTAATTTTTATCATTTTATGTCAAATACAAAGGGTTGATTTCTTTATGTCCACATTTAAAGTGCTGACATAATTCTTTTTTTTTTTACTAAGACATAATTCAGTAGACTACAATGTCCTACTTCGCTATTGATTTGTAATACTTAAATGATTTGTAATTGTTGCATCTCGCTTAAAACAATTTCAGAAGTTTCTATATACTTCATGGAGATGATTAGTTCGGTCGTAAATGTAAAAAATTACTAGACTTCAATCACTAAAATTTAATTTGTAAGATTTTTTTTTGTTTTGTTTTAAATGATGTAGCTTTAAAATTTATTAGTACATCAATATATTTCTTACAACTAAAAGTTATATTTTAGAAAATAAGGCTGTCACAACTATTTTTTATTTTTTACTATAGTTTTGAAAATCAATATAAAGCATGATTGGTGATTTTAGAAAAATGTAGGTAAAAATTACAGTTAATTCACTTCATACAGTCTAACCAATCACACTCTATATATCTTAGAGTTTCTCCAACCCTACTCCAAAACTCACTCCAAAATGGAGTAACAAACATGATTACTCCAAATATGGAGTAAACCAACTCATTACTCCAAAATGGAGTTGAACTTTTTTATTTATCAAATAGTCCTCCACATTTATATATGTTTCATTTTTAATAAAATATTATTATAAATAAGTACTATATATCTTATAAAATTTACTGTTATATTTCTTAATTATATAAATAGCCTCATTTTTAATAAAATATTATTATAGATAAGTATATTAATATTATTATACTATATATTAGAAAATTTACTGTTAATATTTCTTAATTATATAAATAGCCTTGTCTTTAATAAAATATTATTATAAATAAGTATATTAATATTATTTTACTATATATATTTTAAAATTTACTGTTAATATTTTTAATTATATAAATAACCATTTGATGAACTCTTTTATACAACATAATATATATAATATAAAACATAAAAGATCATACATATAGAAAATGAAAGATAAGCACCATACAAAAGAAATAACATAAAATAAAACTTACAACAAATATAATTGCTTAATAATCCGATAAATCATTTTCGGATCCATTAAAATTAAATAATCCGATAAAATATTATTAAATTCTTACATAACATGATAATAGAAGATGATTGTGATCTCGAGGTGCCAATTGAAGTTGAAAGAAAAGTCATGTCAAGGAAAATTGAAATTGAAGAAAATAATAATGTGAGGTTCCAAAAGTTTCTTTCCCATTTCAGAGAAATCAAAGNAATGTATTAAATGTATTCTTTTAAAACCTTGTTGAGTAGTTTTATTTATATAATAAAAATTTAATTGTGGTTAATATTGTATTTAATAGAAATGCTATAAATTTAAAATGGACTGTTTTGCAAATAGTATAAATGAAAGGTGATATTCCTAATTTTGAAATAAATATAATATTAAAAATATTCTTTTGGAGTAGAAAATAGAGTAATACATTGGAGTAAAACTCAACTGCATTTTGGAGTTACTCCATTTTAGAGTAGAAAATGGAATAATACATTAGAGATGCTCTTAGCCGTTAAAAAAAGCTATCATATTTTCTTCCTTTTTAGCTTGCAAACTGTAACTCTTTTTTTTTGTAAACTACAAACTATAACTCTTTAGCTCAAAAAGTCATCAAACTATTACTAGCGTATTTTCTTAATACCTAGGCTAAAGGTGAATTTTCTGCGGACAAAAGAAAAATGTTTTAAATCGTCCTCAGTTTTTTGTCGAACTAGTTGAGTTCTATTGTTGAAGCTATTTTCAATTCAATATCGTCTAAGTAGGTAAGTATAATAAGCCCATCCGGTGAGATTGCAAATGGGACGTTTCCACTGATGAATTGAATAGTATATTTACACCATCAAGAGGGGCGTTTGTTAGAGCATCATTATCGATGGTCCATAAATTGAGTCCTTTATCAGAAAGTCTTTTATCTTTTAACTAAAAACATTAAGGGATATCTCGTAAAGTCTCTTAGAGCCTTTATTTATTCAATAAACTAAAAAGTCTAGTATCAAGTTTTGGTGAGAGTATTAGCAAAAAAAAAAAAAAAAGTGTTGGTGAGATACTTTGTGGATATCTTATGCATCTTAACCTACCAATTTTATTTACCTAATTAAGGTAAAAAACTAAACTATTCATTCTTATAAACTCTCCAACTTCTCTCTGGTTTCGACTTAAGTTGAAAGTGTTTTCAAGGGGCCGATAAGCAACTTGCCGCATGTTGCCATCTTTTCTATTTCTTTTTTTGTTGTATCATTCGGTATATCGAATCGTAACTTTGCATGGCGACTTTTGTTTGTTTTTTTATCACTTTATCATCTTCTTGAGCTTTGAGGGTGTTTTTGTTTTTTGTTGATTATGCTTAGTTATTCAATTAAAGGGATAAATCTTTACTTCTTTAATCTTTGTAAAGTCTCCTAATCTAAATGAATCAACTAAGATGTTAGGTACAGTTTGTTGATTTAGATGTAGTTTCAGTAGGATCTGAGTTTTCTCTATGAAAACGTTATGGTAAAAGTACATCTTTCAAGGCTTTCTCGGTCGTTCACATCTAGCAGACTAGCGGAGCTTTCTTTAACCTCGACGGTGACATGGAAGGAGTATACTCAGCAGTGCTTCAGTGAAATTTTGTAGGTGATCAAGCGAAGACACGTTGAAGGACACATGTTTCTCAATTATGAATCAATTGTCTTTTTTTGTTTGAACTTCAACTGAGTTATCTCTATAATATTATTTGAGAAGTCAGTTTTTTACGTGTCGCGCTCACGTTAATTCTCACGATGGTTGATTACATAGATACCCTTAATGAATTGTTAGATTTTAAGATTATAATTTTTATGTAGTTTTTTTTTTACCTTTTTCCAAATAACATATATAATAAAAATAAAATATTTCTAAAATTTTAGAAATATTTCATTTCTATTATATATGTTATTTGGAAAAAGGTAAAAAAAACTAAATAAAAATCATAATCTTATAAAATTTTAGAAAAAAATTTAAAAACGAAAATAATATAATATGACTTTATTAAAAAAGAAAGTTCACAACATAGTAATACCCTATTAATATATATTTTAAAATAACATAATATATATTTTCAAAATAATGAAAATATATGTGTTCATGAACATCCAAAAACTTATCAGTTGCACTTTATTTTCTAATATTTTTTAGAAATCAACATATAATTTGATAAATATTATGAAAATACATGTATATTTAAACGATAAATAAAACTAATTTGATTTGACTTAAATAAAATAAATATTAAATAAATATTATGAAAATACATGTATATTAAAGAGATAAATAAAACTAATTTGATTTGACTTAACTAAAATAAAAGTAATTATTCTTCTATTTTAATTTAAAAATCTATTATATTCAATATACTCACAAAATGAATGACTCTAATAATCTAATTTATATCCAAAATTAATCATCTAACTACAATAAGAACATATAATTTTATAATAATAAGAATACTAATAATCTATTTAGTTTTATACATATAAATTATAGGTTGACTTAAAGCATATTAAAAAAGAAAAACAAAATATTAACCAATTACAATTTAATTCTTTTTTAGAATATATATATATGCATGAGACTTCAAAATATTATCATTATATTCATTTATTTAATTTTGAATCAAACACTTCAGCTTATTATTAATTTCATTTTAAGCACAATATATATATATATATATTAAGTTATACATAATTTAACTATAATATATTTACATATATAAAGACAATAACCAACCGAAATGAAAATAAGAAAATTAATCAAAGTTTTATTATATTTAAAATAAAAAATATTATAGCTGAATTCGAAAAATAGATATTATCCAATATACCAAATTGATAACCAAACCGACTATTGTTCAAAAAAAATAATTAAACCGGAAATAATATATCCAAAGTCATATGTATAATTAGAATAATATAATATTTATTAATATAAATTATACACATAAATTGATTCAAAACGAATAGTAAATATCAATCAATTATTTATTTCATTTAAGCACAATATATATTAAGTTATACATAATTTAACTATAATATATTTACATATCTAAGAATATAGTTACATATCTAAAGACAATAGCCAAACGAAATAAAAATAAGGAAATTGATCAAAGTTTTATTATATTTAGAATAAAAAATATTATAGCTGAATTCGAAAAATAGATATTATCAAATATACCAAATTGATAACCAACTCAACTATTGATCCGATAAATAATTACACTGACAATAATATATCCAAAGTCATATGTATAATTAGAATAATATAATACTTATTAATATAAATTATACATATTAATTGATTCAAAACTGAAACTAAATATCAATCAATTGTTATAAAATTTTACTTTTATGAATATTCATACCCGTGCATGAGCACGGGAAAATCACCTAGTTTATGTTGTATCAGGGCTTCCGACCCACTTATAATCATGTTAGTCTTTTGGAATTAATAAAATTATGTTGACAAAAAAAAATTAAAATTATTTATTATAGAATATGTGTTACAAAATATTTTAAACATTGCTATGGAAAATTTTAGTGGTTTTTCAACAATAATTTACTAATATGTAACTTTATGAATTGCAGCATAAATTTATATATATTTATATTTATTATTGATGAATGTTTCCAAAAATTTAAAAACTTACACTAATTTTTTTATTAAAATAATGATATATGAAGTTGTGTTTATATTATGTTTACATTTTAGAATTAAAGATTGATATACTTTGATGATAAATTTTTAATAAACGATATTTCAAACCAGAAATTTATCTATAACACTTATATTAATTAATTTAAGCTTAGTTGAAGTTGAATTGTACATGTAAGTAAAATATTTGAAGTATGTATTTATTATATCAATGAGAAGCATTGGTTAAGCAGTTTTTTTCACATATTGGCAGTGATGCAATTCTAGGGTCCTTATACACTTTAACTACTTTAAGCATGATCACATGATACGAAAATAGACAAAACAAGATTTTCAGTGCAACTGCTAAAATAAAATATTTATATTGAGGGTCTAACTGATTTAAACTACAGTTTTATATATTTTATAATATTTAATTCATTTCTATTTCATATTTTATTTTTATATAATATAAAAATTCTAAAATAAAAGTGGATTTTCTAATTTTTTTTATTAATTTTTTTAAAAATATGTTAAAAATCTCTATTTTAAAAACTCTTTAATATAGAGACAAAAAATAATAGCAGTAAGTTGGAAATGTTCTTGCATATGTTACTAGCTTGGTTGCATGGAGTCGGTGGAAACAAGACGTTTCGAAACGTGGAAATGTGATTTTCAAAAAAGTTAGAAATGAAAACGTTTATATATGTATATATATGATTAATTAGAATGTAAGCTTATTTTTTTTTATTTAACCAAGAGAAAAAATTAAATAATTTAAATGTTATAATTTTGTTATATTTTATAAAAATTCTAATCAATATTTAGAAAACTAAAACTTGTTATCATTCGATAAAATGTCGATTTCATTCCAGATCAAATCATAATACCTAGATAATAACAAATATCAAAAAATAATATTAAAATAGAAGTTAATAAACATGTAATCACCATCAAAAGGTAAAGTTATTCTTTCGTGTTTCCAAACAGAATTACGAATTTCCAAATTAGAAACGTAAGTTTTCATCGTATTTCCAACATGCAAATTTTATGACACGCGTTTTCAAAATCTTTCTCCGAATTTTCAAAAGATATCGATTCCAAAGCATTTCCGAAATAGGAAATGGACTTTGACAACAATTTTCATGCAACCTAGGTTACTAGTTATTGCCTTACTGGAATATGAGAAATTGCCTCGTGGGCTTTTAAAAACCGTATGCATTTATATAAGCCAGAACTACTATATTTTATGGGCCTATTAATAATCTCGTCCAAGTAATTAGAAGAAGAAGCAATTTACACGATCCAACAAACTCGCCTAAGAAAAAGCCTTTTTATCCTTCTCTCCATTGGTTGATTAAAAAAAAAATCCATCTCTCCCTCTCCAGTCTTTTCTGTTGTCAGCCACCACCGAGCCTCGTCAGACCGATTTAGGGTTTCGCAGTAGTCATGTACCGCACGGCAGCTCTAGGAGCCAAAGCCCTTAAGGTCAATGTCTCACTCCACTTTCTCCATTTAACCCTTTTTTTTGTAGAGGAAAACCAGTGAGTCTCACAGATTCAGTCTCAATCGTTTTTCTAGCAGCTGTCTGATATATTTCATGCCTTTATTTTAATGTTTTCGATTGAAAGTTCTCGTTTTTATTCTAATGTCAATTGCAAGTTTCTTGTTTTTAATTCTCGTAACCAAGTTGTGTTTTTTTTTTCCGACATTTTGAGGAAAGTAGCTAGACTTTTGTCTCATTGAGCATCATCGTGTAATAATGCATTATATGTTTTTTTTGTTTGTTTATAGGGCTGTCTTAGCCGTAGTTTCAGGACATCACGCTATGCAAGTTCAACCGCTGCTGCAATGGCTTCACCTGTTTTCTCCGGAAGCTCGATTCCGTCGTTGAACATTCCATTGGACGGTGTCTCTCTTCCACCATCACTCGCTGATAATATCAAGCCTAGCAAACTTCAGACCACTACTCTTCCTAATGGTCTCAAAATAGCCTCTGAGATGTCTCCGGTTAGACCTTCAGCTTCAACTTCTCTTCCAACGAGTGACTTTGTAACGAATTTATGTTCTTTTGTTTTACTCAGAATCCAGCAGCTTCCGTTGGTTTGTATGTTGATTGTGGCTCTATTTACGAGTCTCCTTATTCCCGTGGAGCTACCCACTTGCTTGAGAGGATGGCTTTCAAGAGCACGTTGAACAGAAGCCATCTTCGTCTTGTAAGAGAGATAGAAGCTATGGGAGCTAATACTTCAGCCTCTGCATCTAGAGAGCAGATGGGTTACACCATCGATGCTCTCAAAACGTATGTTCCTGAAATGGTTGAAGTGCTTGTCGACAGTGTGAGGAACCCTGCTTTCCTTGATTGGGAAGTCAACGAAGAGGTAATCAATAATCTCGTAAAATGTTAAAGGAAGAGAATCTTTTTTGACATTATTGTTTCTTTCTCCTGACAGCTCCGGAAAGTGAAAGTGGAGATAGGAGAACTTGCGAAGAACCCTATGGGTTATCTCATGGAGGCGGTTCATTCCGCTGGTTACTCTGGCGCAATGGCTAATCCTTTGTATGCACCTGAATCTGCTATTAGTGGATTAACTGGAGACGTCTTGGAGAAGTTTGTTTCAGTAAGATCATTTGCATTCTTTCTCTTCAGTTATGATGTGTTTTCCTTTTTTTGTTCTTTACTCATTTGGTGCTGAAATGTTATTAGGAGAACTACACTGCTCCAAGAATGGTGTTAGCAGCTAGTGGAGTAGAACATGAGGAGCTTTTAAAAGTGGTTGAGCCATTACTTTCTGATCTTCCTAATGTAACTAGACCAGTGGAGCCAAAGTCTGAATATGTTGGTGGAGATTTCCGTCAACATACTGGTGACGAGGTACTCATCATCATTGATTTATATAATCCATTTCAATATGGTTTATTTTTCCTAATATCTTTTTTTGTTCCCGGCCATGGACAGGCTACACATTTTGCACTTTCTTTTGGAGTGCCAGGATGGGATAAGGAGAAGGAAGCTGTTATGGCAA